TTCCTTCCTTCCTTCCTTCCTTCCTTCCTTCCTTCCTTCCTTCCTTCTTCTCCCCATTTTACTCCTCAGTAGCTTCTTTCTCCTGGAGCCTGAAGAAACAGGGATCTTTCCTCGCTTTTTCTTTCTTCTCCGTCCTCACCACACCAATCCCGCCATTCCTGCCTTGAGGCCCCTCATGTCCCCAGGCCTGTTTCTTCTTCTTCTTCCTCCTCCTCATCATCATCCTCATTTATTTAAATTTATGAGCTGTCCAACGCCTGTGGGCTCTGGGTAGCACACCAAACTCAGAAAGATAAAGAAAAAGAGTGAAAAATATTGGTGCATCTTTTTCCCCTCAGTGGTGCCATTTTCCCGCCATTTTTCCCCCACCGTCCATCTTGGCTCCTTCCCCTCGTCTTCCTCCTTGATCTGTTCAGGTGTTGATTTTTTCCTCTCAGAAAGGGAAGCAAAAACGGTCTTCTGCCTTAACCATTTTTATTTTCAGCCTCAGAGACACAAGACAAAACCTTATTGGGATTGTTTCAAATAAGCTTATGTGAGGAGAGCTTGACAGGGTATGAAGCAAAGAGGCAGTTAAGAAAGCTCAAATCGTCCTTAAATTGATAAAAGGGTCGGATTTTTCTTGACATTTTTGTCTCCAAACTCTAAGCCATGATGATTTGCAGCTCTTTTCAATTTTTACTTGAACCAGAGGCTTCTATCTCTCTGAGCTTTGGTTTTTCATTAACCATGGTTGGACAAGAAAACCGGAACTGGGTTTAGGCCTCAAAGCCAACAATTGTGGTTTGTAAATCATGGGGACGAGGTTTACAGCTTTTGTTAAAATCCAATTCTGTCTGTGTGTCTGCCTATCCATAGTAACTAGAGCTCCTTTGCAAGGGAGATTGGCAGTTTCACAATTTATTAAATAAATCAATAAAAAGTCTATCATCATCTAGCAATAATCTCTATCATCTAAATCTATTATTTCTCATTTCTCAATCATTTAAAACTTGATATACAAAATAAATAAAAATATATCACCTCTATCATCTATCTATCTATCATCTTTCTCTCACTTCATCTATCTATCTATCTATCTATCTATCTATCTATCCATCCATCCATCCATCCATCCATCCATCCATCTTTATAAATCTATGATTCATTTCTCACTTTTATCATTATTTTATCATTTTATATATATAAAATCATCTATTTTGATCTTTTATCTATATATCATCCATCAATCATTGTCTTTTATTATCTATTAAATTATCTGTTCCCCATTACTATCATCTATCATTATCTATTATCTATCATTATCATCTATCTAATATTTATCTATGTTACCTTAGTTTCTTTTGAGTAGCTTGCTTGATAGCCATATAAAACTGCAGCTATATATATATTTATATGTATATATAAAGTGCATATTATATATGTATATAAGTATGCATACTATGTATATTATTACAGTAAGATACTGTGTATATATATATATATATATATATATATATATATATATATATATATA